GATTTTTTTTTTTTTTTTTTTTTTTTAATAACAAATACTAGATTTAAATTTTATGGATGAAAATTCTCGACGATCAACAAATGAAAGCCGTGTTTCTCGTTCGACAGAGAGGAACGAAAAATTGCGCAAACGGGGCATCTCTGAAGCGTGTGCGTGCGGTCTCGTAATTTTAGGCAAGCCGAAAAGAAAGTGGGCAGAAAGGAAGGAGCCTTCTCGTAACGCTTGTGTACACGTGAGTCAACAATCGTCGCCAACTTTTCACGTGTTTCGCGTGAAATCGCGTGTTGCGCAATCGTTCACAATTCTGCAATCTCGGATCATCCACGTTGCTCTTGCATCTTTGATATCGATCTCTCCATCGACGTTTGACTGAGGCACTATCCGCTCTAGAGGAGAATAGATACGCGATGGTAACGGGAGAACGGTGAGAATCGGAGCACGAATCGTATTTGGAAATAAGGGGCTAAGGGATTGATTAGATCGAGGTGCATTGTAGTGTAGATCGTGATTAATGGGATTCAAGTTTATCATTTTTCGTCGCTTTATTTGTTGGAATTTTAATTTTTCCGAACTGCGATATTTTGCACGTTTATTGAAATATGTTTTCTCAAATCTGAAGATCAAATCAAATTTGAAGATTACGATTGATTTATATTTAAATCGAAAGCTTCGATTTCAAATAGATCGTAGTGATGATGATAATAATGGATGGTCACATGTTTCGTTTCTAACGTAAGTAACGAATATACCTCTCTCTCTCTCTTTTATCCGTGAAAACAGTAAAAGTATAATTTATAATGAAGATCAATGACAGATGAAGGTTTCTCTTTCGGTTCTTAATGATTTTTGTATACATGTGTATATAATTTTCAATCAACTTTCAATCGAGAGAATAAAGACCTGATGCAAATTGAATGACGCAACGTAATTAAGACTTGGCAGCTTTGTCACTCGGTATCTTTATATTCCCCCTTATTAATAAACCTATCCAATTGCACTGCATCGTTGTTAATAAAAAAACGAAGCGAAAAATGACAAGCTCGTCTGTCTGATCTGATATAAATGAAGTCTTACAAACAGTTCCATTATTCGAATGAAAAATTACATTAGATACTACAGATACTATTTCTTTCCTTCTTTCGACAATTAATACAAAAGCCATGCGATAAATCTAAGTTAGATTGTGCTTGTCTCACGAAAAAATACACGTCTTTGTAATAATGGCCGTAACATCGATTATACAACGATCTTACACATCTAAGTGGAAGACGTTGTAGCGTGTGGTTATCGTGTACGATCTTGACGAGGACTCGCTCACGTTTCGATATATTCAAAAGCGAGGAGAAGAGGTTGGAAGGAAAAGTCAGGTTTGAGTATTAATTCGCCACTTTTCTCCATTGTTCCGAATCAGCTTTCACCGTTGCGCCACCATTCGCTTCGCGGATCTTTTGCATTTTGTTTCGCGCTGCTTCTTAAACTGACCAATCGATAAGTGCCGATTTTTCGTTTGTAAAATCGAAGTTTGCTCGCCGATTACAAAATTCTTCGCGCTTTATTTACACAGTGAGCGAAAGAAACTGTGTCTCGAAGGCAATGGGAATATTTTGCGGATATAACGAAGGAGGGGGGAAAGGATATTGATACGGAAACCGATTTCATTGGCCATTTGGAGAAAGATCGAGTTATGAAATTATTTGAACAATTATTCCAATTATTGTTCTTTTAATTATTTGTTTTCCATCATTAAAAACTTTATATTTAATCGATGAAATTATTTATATATTATTTTTTTATTATTTATTTATTTTTTATTTATTTTATTTATTATTTATATATTAATTTTTTTCTATTAAATCAATTGGTCATCAATGATATTGATCTTATGAATATCCTGAATTTAATAATATTGAATTTGATTCATATATATTAAATTATAGAAATTTAGATCAATTTCGATTATTAGAAACTGATAATCGAATAATTATTCCAATAAGAATTCCTTTACGATTAATTACTTCATTGCAACGTGTATTATTCTTTCACAACGAACGAGGTCTTTATAAATCCACATTCGTTGTCAACGCTACCTCTCTCTCTCTTTCTCTCTTCAGTCTTTAGCTATCGATTTCACGAGCGAGCGAGCCAATTACGAGCAGGCAAATCCGTACAAAATCCGCCACGATAATTACAAGCGTGGCGTAGGATCGCGGTGGATAGTGGACGTGCCCGACCCATATATTCACCGTGTATCGCAATTTCACCCGTGTTGCCGTATAAATTACGATCTCACACGGGTTGTAACTCATAACTGACCTTCGGTAGCGAATTATAATTATCCCGTGGCGTACCGATTTCTTACTAACGATCTCCACGATCCCAGACGACCAATTAAAGCCTAACGTTTTGAAGGCTTGTGAACGCTTTGCAAAACGCTCGCACGAATTAACGCTCGTAACACTGGATTACACGTTTAGATGGGATAACACACGCCCCCTCCATTCGACCGGGATTCTTTCATCCTTTTTTTCGCGATTGATAAGTGCGTTATGAGTTGTTGTATTGTTGTTATTATTGAAATATTGTTTGGAAAAATAGAATGGGAGAGAAAATTGAAATGAAAGAAAGTGTGGCCTCTCGTACTTTAGAGATGATAAATGAAGTCTCGTTATGAGGGTTCTCGTGATTGTTTGAGGAAATAGAGATTCGATGGGGAAGAAAATTGTTTGATATGATGGAAATAAATTGTTAAAAAGATTTTATAGCAAGAGAGTTACTTAGCTTTTCAGTTATGAGACGTAAAAAAATATATATATCATTTGATGCACGTTTCAAGTAACAAATTATCGAGTTATTGCAAAATTTGAATCTATAATCATTACAATTTTGTGCGATATGAATGCAAATTCGGAATAATATAATGTTCCTTTTTGACAAAAAATTTCAATTTATTAGTTTCACACGTGATTAATAAGACAATAATAAATCAATAAATTGTATACTTTATTGTGCATAATTAAAAAGTAGTTTTTTTTTTTTTTTTTGAAAAAAAAAAAAATTTTTTTTTTTTTTTTTAAAAATTGTTTGGTTAAAAAAAAAAAATTTTTTTTTTTTTTTTTAAAAATTGTTTGGTTAAAAAAAAAAAATTTTTTTTTTTTTTTTTAAAAATTGTTTGGTTAAAAAAAAAAAATTTTTTTTTTTTTTTTTAAAAATTGTTTGGTTAAAAAAAAAAAATTTTTTTTTTTTTTTTTTTTGTAAAAATTCGTTGAGTCAAAACAACAAATTTATGAACAGTTTTTTCTAATTTATGTTCTTATGGTCAAAATGGAATTGCACGATTTGAAGATGATAAATGAGATCTGATGATTCACGTAATACGTATCCTCAAGATAATTTCGAAAACTGTGGATGAAGAAAAATTAATTCATATATATCTTCGTGAACGTTTTTTGAAACTCTTCTTGAAAATTTTGAACGATGGTAATCGAGATTGTTATATATTTTTGTGGACGTTTGTAAATAATTTCGAATAATTAGTATCGTATCGGATCAACGTGTTACCGGATTTGGAAATGACGATTTTTTTAATTGGACAGAATTATGTGATCAGATGCGAGAGAAAAATGAGAGCCTGTTTGATCGAGAAATCATGAATAAATAGGAAATTGTGTTAATGAAAAATGGAGAGATATTTTGATTTCGGCGATTTAAATATTAATAATTTATCAACATGGATAGATCAAATTGTGAGTTTTTGTTTGAGACAAGGTTACCGTTTAAAGAAAAATAGAAATATTAAAATATTTTTCAAACCAAACAAGATTCTACACCTTCGATAGATTTTAGAATAAATGATTCGTAATATATTTCAAGATCCTCATCGAATAATTTTGATTGCTTTGATTAAATATTAAAAAAAGTGTAATTTGCAAACAAATAAAATTCCATTCGAATAATTAATTCTCGTTCCACACTTCCAGCTATATATATATATATATCCAACAACCCAAGAATTAGCCCTAAGTGTAAGAATGTATCGATCATGATATTCTTAAGATCTTTAAAAAAAAAACTGCTTCGTCACAGATTAAATAATGTTGGACAAGCTCGTTTAAACCGCATCTGTCAACACGATTACACTCAACTTGATTATTTTCAAAGAGTATTATTTTTTTTTAAGCCGGCGATCGCTTTAAACGAAACCTTGAACCAATCTATCCGGTTCCTGGTTCGAAATATTCGGTACCGTTACCTCGAATCAATCCTGGCCGACTATGAAAAGATCACCGTATCACCCGAGAATAACATCACAATTCCAACGTTTGTATCTTTTTTCGAACCGGCGTCTGACATAACCGGGCAGGAATGTCGTTTTCTTGGCGACTC